TGAATAAAAAGACGAGGAAGTGTTTTGAGTGTCTGTAGATATTAACAATAATAATGGGATCCTTAGGAAAAAGAAGTTTGATGACAACGAATTCTACAGACGGGTGGGAAAGAGAAGGAAAATTAATTGTTTAAAAATTAAGGTTTTTTTTATTAGGTTACAGACGCCTCTATCTTCAGGTTGAGAAATATCTAATTTAATAGCTATGAAGCCTCGAATGTTAAAGTTGTCGAGTTTGAGCAGAGAAATTTCTGTAAACAATTGATGTCAAAATTGTGGGAAATGAATTGGAGAGAGGTTAGATTGCATCTAGCCCCCCCTTCTGCAATTTCATTGTAACAGTTTAAGGTCTTTAGAAAGGTTCCTAGAGTCGCTGCGGGGGTGTTAGAGTAAGGAGATTTCGAAGTTATCGGAGAGGGGAAACGTAAGAAAGTTTCTAAGGGTGATCTAGTTCTGAAAATTGTCTTCTTGGACAGGCGTGGTAAGAAGAGAAGTTATCAGAGCAATGACGAACATTGTAATTAAAATTTGAAGGCATATCGGAATGATGATTGTCGGAGGCATAGGAGGCGGCTGAGGGGTTCGAGATGAGTGAGAGGAGATAGTGCTAATAATTTTAGCTGCGTCGTTCGTTTGCAAAAAATTAATGTTGTAATGAGTTCAGTAATTAAGTTAAGAATATTATTAAAGAAGGAAGAGGTGAAAAAATTCGTCGAGGGGAAGAGTTGCTAGAAGAAGAGGAAGTGTTCTAGAGGGATAGGTCCTCGCAATTCTCCATTGCTGGAGAATTGCGAGGACCTATCGTTAAGCTCCCAAAGAGCGCTTCAATATTAAAGAAGAAAATATATGTTTGGTAAATTGTGTGGAGGAACGTTTGTTCAAAGAATTATTATGTAAGTTTGAATTGCTTAGGGGACGGGGAGGGGAGGATTCGCTTGGGAGTTAACGGCATCGACGTAAGATCTGAAAGAATTAAGCGATATATTATTTTGCAATCAGTTGTAGGGATTGTAAAATTCAAAATTAGCGAGGAGATTCCAAATTACCTAGGTGACTTTGTTCTCGAAGAGAGGGGAAATTACCTGAGTTAAGGCTGCAATTCGAGTTAGAAGTTAATGCTATTGTTGACAATTTTCTTAGCGTCAAAGGAATGTTAGTCAAAGGAATGTTTTCAGAGTCGCCAGGTCAATAATGCGTTCATGATTAAGAATGAGAGGACATGTTTTAAAGATTGCACTATGGTTACCCTGACAGTGCACTTATTAGGCTCTCCTTAGAGTGGACAAGATTCATTTTCAGCGTGTTTTTTGCCGCAGTTGAGACATCTAAGTTCTGGCTGTGTGTCCGACACGATAACAAGAGAAGCAGATTTTAAGCCTGGGAAATATATGGGCGGATCTCGTGTCTGGTTTTAAAAATAAAGACTTCCTTTGGAAGAAGGTCTGATTTGCAAATTTGATGCGCAAGATTAGGTTAGAAGGGATATATCCAGATTTACCATCTCGGTTGATTCTACAGTTAAATCTCTGAATGTTGAGAATTTTATAACGAGGAACTTCGATGTTAGAGCGAATGACTTCGATATCAATTTCAACTGAACATCTTGAATAATCCCTGTCTTGAGAACTTCATATGCAGGAATGAAAACATGAAGATTATGTTGAGCGAAGCTGAGGTTTCTGTAATTCTGGCAGCGTTGGCGGACATTGCCTCGATGAGAATTTTTCTTTTTAATCTCAGCAATGCCGGGAATGTGTGCTTTGGCAATGATGCTACTAATCAAAGTAGCATACTAATCAAAGTAGGGTGGATGAAGCTATCTTGATTAGTAGAATACATAAAATAAACTACATAAAGATCATTATCTTGAGATCAGTCAAAGGACCGAGACAACTTTAGATTGAGAAGCGTTTATCAAGTTTGTAATGTCTATACAGAGCGTTGGCAGATGATTGAGTAGATGGCTTCGATTGTACAGATAGATTAGAGGTATCTGACAATTTCTTTGGTGGTGTAGCGCTCGAGGTTTCATTGCAGTCCACCGGACCGATTAGACACAGCTTGCTTTCTAGTATTTATAACTTCTGAAATTTGCATTTCTGAAGACTCTGTGAGTGATTGAGATAGAAGTTTCTTATTGAAAGCAAGAGATGACGAATAGCAATAGCGTCTCTTGAGGCACATGTGGTTGGAAGGGAAATACCCGTTTCTTGAATGAGATTTTTTAAGAGTTCTTGTTCTGAAATACCAGGAGAGTTGAAATCGTTGGAATTCATAGTATTAGGAGAGTTGAGTTGAAAGTGAAAGAAGGGGGGAGAGAGAGAAAAGGAAGTGTTAGAACGATTAATGAACGATGTCATGACCTCCGTCTGAGGCCTCGTGTGCGAGGGAAAAATATAAGCCCAGAGAGTCCAATAAACCACGCGATGGATCAAATAAGAAAAAAAATAAAAAGAAAAGAAAAAGGAAAGAATGATTGCTTTCAGTAATAAGCGCTCGATAAAACAAATTCGTAAGTTATGTTACTCTCGAAAGACATCCGAACCGCATGGCCTATAACACTCTGGTTCAAACCTCGACTGATTTCTTCTTTTCTTCTCTTCCTGTTCTCAATCTTTATTCCGACCTCTCATCCGTCTTTGTATTCTCTTTCCTCTGTCACAGATCTCTATCCACTATTCTTTCTCTCGCTATCCACGATTCTTCACAAGATTCTGTATTTGTTAAAATCGATCGTGTTTAAACAATATTTTCTTTACATGATTTGTAATCTTTATCATAAATTTTATTACCGTGGATCAGGCGATTCTGAGTTTCTATGTTTTTGCTTATTTTTTCAATATTGCTGGGAAGGTTTCTATTAATGTGATTAATAACACGTTCTTTAAATATTGTCACGCTCGCTGATTGGTGACTGAGTTTTTATTTACCCTAACTGATTACTTTGTCGAACATTCATGAAACAAAAAAATTGTGGAATTCACTGGACGTAACAATATATATATATTGTATAATATAATTCTTCTAACTTTTCCTACATATAAAAGGTAAAAATATGGAAAAATCAAAATAATTTTGTGATTATTTTACACTTTATTCTACCATAGACTTATATTGATATGAAATTTAGAATATCTCGTAAAATATTAATTTTTTAACAATCTTAATATTTTTATGCATAGAATAATCAAATAAATAAATGTAAAAACACACGTCTTAAAAAAATATAGTTAAATATTGCAAAATGCGTAATTTTTTTAATAAGTGACTATGTGTCTTTTTTATATTAATTATATTGATTCATCTCATTTTTCTGTGCATAAAAATATTAAGGTACAATGATAAAAAAATGAATCGAGATATTTTATATTTTATTCAACATGTGACAGAATAAGTATAAAATAATTCGGAAATTATTTGGCTTTTTCAATATTTCTATCTCAATATTTTTATATGAATAAATTAAAGAAAATATGTTACATATAGGTGTATAACTTTGCTTCCGCCGTTTTTTTCCGAAATTCGAGGCTTTATTGTAAAAAACTGGTTATACATTTATGATTCAAAGTATTGTCGCCACTACTTTCTCCCATCTTTCGGGTAGCGTACGAATCCCGCGTCGAAAAAAATGGTCATCTTTTGAGGCTATCCAGGAATCGATCCAATTTTTTACTTTTTCATAAGACCGGAAGTACTGGTCAGCCAGGCCGTGTGCCATTGATCGAAACAAGTGATAGTCAGAGGGAACAACGTCTGGAGAATACGGCGGGTGGGTAGGACTTCCCATTTCAACGTTTCCAAGTATGTTTTGACCACTTTCGCAACATGGGGTCGAGCATTGTCATGCTGCAAAATCACTTTATCGTGTATTGCGGCCATTTGTCTTTCAATGCTCGGCTCAAACGCATCAATTGCGTTCGATACCGATCGCCTGTGATTGTTTCAGTCGGTTTTAACAGTTCATAATACGCTACGCCGAGCTGGTCCCACCAAATACAGAGCATGACCTTGGAGCCGTGAATATTCGGTTTGGTCGTCGACGTGGAAGCATGGCCGGGAACTCCCCATGATTTTCTGCGCTTGGGATTATCGTAATGAACCCATTTTTCGTCCCGAGTCACAATGCGATGCAGAAATCCCTTCCGTCTTTGCCTTTCAAGTAGCTATTCACAAGCAAACAAACGCCGTTCAACATCTCTCGGCTTCAATTCGTACGACACCCAATTTCCTTGCTTCTGAATCATTCCCATGGCTTTGAGGCGTTTTGAAATGGCTTGTTGAGTCACTCCCAATGATGTGCCAATTCTTCTTGATTTTGACACGAGTGCTTGCTCAAGTATTGTCTCCAATTCTGCATCTTCGAAAATCTTCTCTCTTCCACCGTTATGCCGGTCTTCGACGTCAAAATCACCGTTCTTGAAGCGTTGAAATCACTCACGACACATTCTTTCACTAATAGCGGCCTCACCATAAGTATTTGAGAGCATTCGATGAGCCTCAGCCACAGATTTCTTCATATTGAAGCAAAAAATTAAAACCTCCCGCAAATGACGAGAATTTGATTCGTAAACTGACATTTTCAATCGAGAATAACTTTATGATGCAGACACAAATCGACTAATGTTTCTATGGGGTTATGTTGACAGATGCCCAAGTTTATTGTATGACGTCTATGATCTATTTATTTCGACCACCACTTACCGCTAAAGTCATCTGTAGGGAAACGGCGGAAGCAAAGTTGTACACCTAATAAAATAAATTATAATTCCATTTTTAAGAAATAATAATAATTTTTATGTGATCTTAAAGTATTAAGATTTTTCGAAAACTGATTTTATCATTATTTGCGCTCCTCTAAGCCACACGATTTTTTTTTTAAATGTTTTTTCGTATTTTATATATTTTTCGAGACTGTTTAAAACAAAATGAGATTGTATATCCTATTTATAAATACTTCTCGTAAATTATTAATTTTTACATACGGTTTTTGTTCTTTAAAGCAATATTCCTGACAACTATAAAATCCTGTTCATGCAAGGGGGCGGTACTGCCATTTTTGCAGCTATTCCTCTTAATATTATGAATACAGGAACTGCGGATTATTTAGTAACTGGTGAGATCGTAATTTTTATATTTTTAATAAAATAGGATAAAAAAATTAAATAAGATAAGATTAAAAAATTTCGTAATTTAAATTGCATTTATTTAGGCTCATGGTCTGCAAAAGCGGCAAAAGAAGCAACGAAATATGGAAAAGTGAACATGGTTTTGTCTAATATGACAAAATACACAGAAATTCCGCATCCTTCCACATGGAACTTAAACGCGAATGCATCATATGTTTATTATTGCGCTAATGAAACTATCCATGGTAAACAAAAACATTTTGAATTGTTTTATTGTATTGTTTTAATCTTGCTTACAAAAATAAAAAAAAACGAGATGTAAGTCGAGTGTAAGAGAAAAGTAGAAGTGAAACTTTTAGAAAGCATAAATTGATGGAAAATAAAAGAAGTGTTTTACTGAGCTGTGTTTTAGAAATGAAAGCCTCTTAGGTTTTTTTTTTCGTTTCACTGTTACAATTTACGTTTTTAGAGGATTCATTGTATGTCCATTGTATTTTTTGTCATTTTATCTTTATGTCATTTTATCTTCGACTTACATTCCGATCTTTATTTTTGTTAAGAATTATGTACGGATATATGTGTTCTAAAATATATATGTTTCCAGGAATTGAATTTAATTTTATCCCGGAAATAAATGGCATACCACTTGTTGCTGATATGTCATCTAATATACTTACGAAACCTTTTGAGGTATCTAAAGTAAGTATCCAAGTTAAATATGAATATCTTCAAATATATTGAATTATATTGTGTTTGATGAAATTTCGTTTACTTACATTATGTAGTACGCATTACGTTTCACTCTCGTCAATGATAATAAGAAATTTTGAAATTGCTCGCCGGAATTTGCTCGTCGGAGCCAAAGTTTGAGAAAAGCGTGAGGCACTAAATCGTTTTACTAAATCGTTTAAAGAATGTCTTTATTTACAGAACTTTCTATATTGACAATAGTTGTTAGGAAATCTATCTGCCGCCAGATGAATTGCGCGGATCGCAGTGCACGAATGCGTAAAGGCTGTATTATAGACTCTGCAGACCCGACTGCAGTATCCGATTCGGGTTAATCGATCATATTTGTTGATATTTGCCGACAATTGCCACTGACTGACTGAACTATATAGAAAAGTAAAATTAAAACGTAAGATTATCGCAAATCTCGGACGAATTGTGTCGCAATATAATATCTATGTTGAAAATCGAAACATAATACTGGCTAAGTTTCAGATATTCTGGCTGATAGATTCGCAGAATTAAGGTCTTTCTCGAACTACATTTATTAATAATATTTCCGAATCGTAATAGTTCCAAGTTGTTTCTTTTTTAATGCCATCTTTCCCAACTGTTTCTTACGGATATTTACGAACTATTTTTTCTTATCTTATATATATAATCGCTAAATTGTTTTACAAAAAGTATCTTTATTCAGAAATATGATTCCCTATATATGACAATTGTTATTGTAGGAAGAAAATTTATCTGCTATCAAGCGTTGAATGATTAAATCTTGTATTTCTATACTGATTCTGATTCTGATTGTAATTCTGAGTCGCTGACGACATTGACTCGAAAAATAAACTCAAATCTAAACGCGAGTTGACTCAGTCTCATTAGGATTGGTGATCTACTGAGGATCAGTTAGAATCGAGTCGATCTGCAGAGTCAGTGGTCTTGCATAGATTTAAGTGTGTATGACGACTACGCATAAACGACTAGAGATATGTGTAAAGTTATGTATGGATCGTTAATATACAAGAGGTTTTGCACGGTATAAGCTGATCGCGATTGTGAATGAGCCGCAAATATGTACAGATGGATGCAAACAGAGCCCAGATCGTGAATATATTTTGACGATTACAAGCAGGTTGTATACAAGCTGATTGCGAATATATATTCATCTGCAAAAAAAGTGGTACACTGAAAATTTAGGAAATATTTATCAAATTTCAAATGATCATAACTTCGTAAATAATAAAGGCAAAAATATATTTTAAAATGCAAAATGAAGTTTGCAGTGTCCACTTTAAGGATATTTGAGAATTGTACTAGGCCAATTTTTTCGAAGTGGCAAAGTGAGAAGAAAAAATTGCAAAATTGATAATCAAAGGTTTGAGATTGCGACGATACATGGCCTGAATTAGACGTCACAAGCTAATAGAATAAAATGAACATGAAAGTATAGAATTTTATATTTAAAATGCTTTTTTACGGAATAAAATTGGTTTGATATAACCATTTTTTGCTGAGTTATACCAATTTATGGTACCGCTGTCATTAGCTCAAGTTATGGTCTCTTCTCGCAATATGTGATCAAGCATTATTTCGCATAAACAAGAAATTCTATCTGATGAGGGATATGTACGGAACATATCGAATGAGTATGTCTTTCACGTATACATCTGCGTTCATATTGTTGTTAAAGAAGTGAGCATTTGCAGAAATTCTTGCCCAAATCATTACAGAGCCTTCATTACAGCTGTGCCTTTACTTAAAATATAATCTGCAAATCGTTCTTCTTTACTACGATAAACTTATTCTTGTCCATCTGGAGAATAGAGAGGAAAACAAGATTGTTAGAAAGAACTTTGGGCTAACCCCAGTTTATGTGAGTCTAGTCTCTATTGCAAAATTGAGTCTGGCTATGCGATGGCAATGTTGAAGCAAAGATACAGTCGCAGGTTTGCGCGAAAACAGATTTTGTTCCACTAATTTTTCTTCAAACGGTGTCAACGGATATATTGGTGTTGCGAAATTTAAATTATTTCGAATTTGGACAGCTATTCGATATCTGTCTCTTAGAGAATTTAGAAGAAAGAATTTAATGTAATTTGTTATCATTGTTGTTGAAATAGCGAGGATGTCCCGAATTAGGCCTCCTCTGAAAAGAATTTACGAAATAAGTATTGATACTGACGAATCAAGTGTCTCAGCTACATACCTTTAATTTCTGTCATTTTCACTTAAAGCAACAACACTTGAGCAGCTTTTTTTAGGATTTATCGTCGCTATGATATTAATAATTATTTCGACATGAAAAAATTAATCGTTCAAATTGAAGTCGCATGAAATAACGCGTCTCGAAAAAAAAAGATCAAGGAAGAATTAAAAAAATCGCAAAAGTGCTACTGCACTATCTGCATAGATGCCGAATCACAGACGTTTATAACACGTTATGATATAGAGAGAGGGATATATAGGAATAATCATCACTTGAGTTGTGGCGTTTGACCGGCACACAATGAGAATTTACTGTTCAAAAATCGCTATAGATCTTTATTCTTAACTGATCGAGACGAACTTTTTTTTAAATTAATTTTTTAAATTAATAAATGTGAAAGAAAACTGTGGAGTTGGATTTTTAAAAAATTTTTCCTTGAAATATGCAATATTAATAATTATCTGGACATTATTGTTAACTAGAAGTTGAATTATTTAAATTAAAGTTGTTAGAGAAAAGTCGTCGATATTGACATAAGTCTCCAAAAGCGACTCTCCCTCCTTATTTTTCAGAAATTAAGTATTGCACTTTATTAATAATAATAAAAAATTATCTGTTCAGCTAATTAAAAAAGCACAAACTCATAATTCGTATATTTGTGGCTTGTTTTTATACAAAATCAACTAAAAACGAATTTTACGAATGCGAAAATAAAAATTCTTACGATTTTCTTTTGCAAATTCCATAATTCAAATAATAGTGACTATATTATTGATAATATTATTCATTTTAAATGCTTGTAGTTTCCTAAATCAGTTTTATTTGTGTTATTTTTTCTTTTAATTTTTTCATAATGTGATTTTAAATTTAAAATTAGAGTGCAGCGTAAACCATCACACCTATCTGTAAAATAGACTAAGAACTGACTTAATAATGTGCTTAATAGTGTCAAATAGCTCTATTAGAGTTAAAGACAACCGTGTATATATGGAAAAACTATCGCGTTACATATTTGCATCTTGCAGACCTCAGCATAAAGTAAATATGCCCATAATTCAATAAAAATGTTTTATAATGAAGTGAAAAAATTCTGGAAAATCTTATATACGTTCATTTGTAGATATTTTATATAGATAATTCTTGTAAAAGGAAAAGAATAGGAATATAAAAGAATAGAATACGTAACATTACTGTTTACTGTGTTAGTTTTGGAGTCCATTTTATCAGACACTCATTTTTGTTTATCCAATGAAAAAATTAATTATTGCAAAATTGCAAACAGTACAAAAAACTGTTTATACTATCTGATAGAAGATACTTTTTAATGTATATACTTATGTTCTTAAAGTTTTATTTTCATCTTTTGTTTAGAAATATTGTCTAAAAACAAAATGTTGGTATTGGTGACTTTCCTGTATTGCACTCAACTATCTTACATAAGGGTTTTAGCGGATACTCGCTGAATACAAATCTGATGTTAGAATTAAGATATGACTATTGACAGCAACTTTGATTCAACTTGTGATTAACACTAATTTCCTTGGACCCAGACATCAAAAAAATGTGAACAAAGGAATGAACACTCAGCAAAATATAACTATTTAGAGTCGATTGAAAAACAAAAGGCTCTAGTACTCAGACAAAAAAAAGAACACAATCATATTCATCACCAAGGCATAGGAGGCATTCCTATCGCAAACAGATTCTCAGAGTTGCCAATTGACGTCGATGGAAACAATCCAATCCAAAAAGCCTAACAAACCGCCACTAATATTTTTGTATGATATAGAAGACATAATTAAACTTATTACTCTATTAAACATAATAAAGGTTTCTATAGAGGACTACAAATACAAAATAATTACTCCACCAATTGAGGATCTCCTGTACAAATGCAGATAAGTACAAAAAAGTTATAAATCTAGTCAGAGACCAAGGTAATACATTTATTAACATTTATTAAAGATTTAAAAAAGATGACACTCTATCGAATCGTAATTAAGCACCTTTATTTTCACTTTCACAACTTCTATTGAATCTATCAAGGAGGCTATAGAACAAACAGACAATAAGAGATGAAATTCTGAACGTTAGATTTGATCGCGACAAAAAATTAAATATCTTCTTTGTCAATGGAATCCGGACCTAATAACAAATTTGTAAAAAAATTACATCTTTAATACTCGAATAACCAAAGAAGATCCCAAGAAAAGAAGATCAATTGTGCAATGTCAGTGATATCACAATATGAACATATCGAAAACAATTGTCTGCACCCATATAGATACGTAAAGTGCACTGAAGGACATAAAAAACCGTAGACTATCCAAAAAAGACTCGAAGCATATCTATCAAATGTGCCTTGATAATCATTCTGCCATTTACGAAGGATGTGAAATACAGGATGCGTCACCAAAATCCGGACAAATTTCAATTTAAATTTTTCACTTTATTGTGCCTTCGCCAGAGGTTGTTGTTGGCGTCCGAGAAAGCCTTGATGCTTCTAGTAAACAGTCATATTCTCAAAATGGCCATATTGAAACCAAGTGCGGAGTATAATCGAAGAGCCGCGATCATCGAAAGCCTTTGCGCTAGGCGCTCAGCAACGGAAATAATTCGGTTCTTTGGATACCCGAGATTAACTGCTTATAACGGCAAAATATACAGCTTTAGAATCATCTAACGAAGGTTTTATCAGCAAAGAAGTCATCACGAGCAGTTGTTGAAAAGATTCAAGCGCTGATTTCGGATGACTCGTTGCGCG